TCTTGTTCTATCAGTTCCATATACTTGTCTTTCAAGAAGGGGGCCAGCAAGTCATCCTCTTTTCCTTGTCCTTGAGCTTATAAGTATAGAATGTGTTGTCTTAGAATTATAGCTTTAGTGAAAATAATGTGGTCGATGTTAAGAATTTTAGCTATAATATTATCTAGAATTGAGCATCTTGTAGGACTAGGGGCTGGGTTGGGATTGTCTTCTTATATAGAGATTGTATTGAGGATTGTTTGTATTGCCCATAGTTTTTTTTCTTGATCATACTTATTAAATAAGTTGATTAGGATTTCTAGGATATGAATTTCACGTTTATTTGTGATCTGTAGTAATCTTCATATTGTTGATATTGTTGTGCTTGTCACGTGTCACAGATTAATAGATTTAATTTGTATTTTGTTGTTTCTAACACATAGTGAAGATTTGTTTATCCCTTGTTACTAATTTGATAATGCGAAAAAACCTTAAAGTTGTTGTGTTATAAATCTAGATTCTATTTCATATATTTGTTGTAATAAGGATGTTGTTGTTATTGATCAGCTTATTATAAATATGTGAAAATATGGATATTATTGATCTGTTTGCTATAAACACATAGATAATCTATAAATGTTATTTATATGAACACGTAAAAATATGAGTGTTGTTGATCTGTTTATGTAAATATATAGATGATTGGTAAACGTTGTTTATATGAACACATCTTTTTGATCTTGTTTCCTTGGGAGAATATATGTATATATGTTCACGTGATGTTGTATTTGTTGAAATTTTGTTAGTTGTGATGTGTGTACCTCTTTACTGTGTAGTCAATGAAGCTTGGACTTCCTTCTGAATTTTATAGATATTTGAGTTTAGACTGATTTATCGATCTAAATTATTGCTTGTAAGGTTCCTCTTGGTGTCTAGAAAGGTGTTAACCTGCACTGGCCTGGCTGAGAGCTTTGTGAGGTTGATGTTGGGCTTCCAAGAGCTTACTGTGATTCAGTTTTTATCTTTGGTTGTTCTTCCTAAAAAAAGAAAAATTATTTGTAGAAAGGTTAGAAGTCTTTAGATACTTACTTGTTCCTGTACCGTAAATAGTTATTTCTATAGTGTTTCTTGTAAGTGGATGGTCTTTGATGTTGGTTTTCTCTTGTTTTTTGGGCTGGTTTCTCTTTTTTCAAAAAATTATCAAAAAAGGAAATTTTCTGAAAAAATGGGGATCAACGGAAAGAGTTTTTTTTTGTAATAGTCAAAATATTTGTAAATATCTAATATATTGTATATATAATAAGAATATATCATATTGATTTGATTGCAAATTAAAAAAAAAATCAAAAAAATAAACAAAAATTTTTTAAAAATTATAAATTATGAAAGTAAAAGCTTTAAAAAAGTACAAATGTTTGATAATAGAAAAAAAAATAAACATTTTTATTATAAAAAATCTATTAAATATTTTATAGTTAATTTTTTTTATTGAAAGTTAAATTTTTAATTAAAAAGATATGTAAATAAACAAGAAAAAAAATATAAAAACAATCTTTAAAGATATTTTTAAGTTGTTTTTTAAAAAAGTATTAAAATTTTATTAATCAAAAAGTCAAAAAACTTTTTATCTAACCATTTTTTTATAAGTGATTAGAGAATTAGTAAAAAGATTTTAATAACAAGCTGTAGTATATATCATGCTGTTCAAACAAATATACTATATATTTATATATTTTATTGATTAATAAACCATTATTTAACCTGATTATAAATAATGAAAAAAAAAACAACTATATTAAATTTTATCAATTTATCTATTAAGTTATATAAAAAAATATGATTGTCATTTTTTTTTTTGCAACACTTTGCATATACTGTACTGTATATATAGTACAATATATTTATAATAATATACGAAGTTAAAGTTGAATTATTATATGTATTGATATAATGATATGATATTCTTTAGATGTTTACAAGTAAAAAATTGTACAAAAAAAAGAACTTAAATATAAAAGAATATTTTTTGTAGCAAGGTTTATTTAAAATATTTAGATCTACTGTAGTTCTTATATATTTTATTAAAGAAAAGTATAATTTTGTTTTATTAATTTTCTTATATAATGCAATAGAAAAAAAAAACGGCATCGTGCATTTATCACAAATAAAAATATTCAAAATCAATATATTATATTGAAGATACAATAAATAGATTAAATTCTTAGGGCGGTTTTCTTCGATCCTTAATCTTTCTTCTCATCAATCTTCTTATCCGCATTCCAGTACATTATTATTTGCGCCGCTAGAATCAAATTAAGAGTCGAAGTAAGCACAAATCCTGACAAAATAATTGAATCATCTACTTCGGTGATAGTGGTAAATATTCTCGCTAATGATCCGAGAGCAAATCCGAACACCGCAAGCGCCGATAATTGCCCGGTGCTTCCATTTCGATAGTTAGTGAGTATTTGCGGAATCTTTGACAACAAAGAAATAGGGATAGTCAACGTTTGGAGATATGTTAAGTTCAGGTCGCTGATTATCCAGGATTGAGTAAGCGCGTATGCTGAGGTTACTACTGCCAAAATGGTGGTGATGAGATCCTTGGTGCGGTTAGAGTAATTCAAGATCAACAATAGTATTATGATATTTTGTACGGTTAAAAACACCGATTCGCCGAAAGTACTGAAAGGGTTGCCTTGACGAAAGTTGTAAGCGAATGAGATCCCCAGAGAAACGGTTTCCAAAACAAAGCCTTCAAAACTTAGACCACGGGAAGAACGCGCGGAAACGATTTTAATGATTTGCGGGAGCTTTACAAGCGCTCCGCCCAAGACAATACCGACACCGAGGCCTTTGGATATCAGAAGTTTTAGACAATCGATGTCTCTGACGTTAAGTTCTTCCACTAAAGAAGTATAACATTTCTCTCCTATCAATTGAGTCGCGGGATATTTGATTATTTCTGGGAGTTGCATCTTTGATTGCTAAAGGAGATATAGATAATTCACTCTAAGCTCCAAGAAATTTAAGAAAATTTTTATTAAATAAGATCTAACCAAGCACAAAAAAAAATGTGAAGAAAATAATTTAATAGTCATTTTTAAATAAATGGACCAAAAATGGTAAAAGCATCGATTTTGAAATAGCTTACCACCAAACATCCAAAGGAAAAAAATACTAGCGTACGTACCTAACTCAATCAGGAATCTTATTATAACATTCACTCTTATGCGGTGTAACAATCAGGTTTTATGCTCCGACGAGAAATGAGTGAACACGTAAATTATTTGTAGCAATACTAGGAAACTAAAAAAAACTTTAAGAAAGAAAAAAGAAAAAGGGAATGTCCATTGATTATTAACGTTATATTTTCATGACGTAAGTTATTGACACAATTGGTCAATGAGATCAAAGCATTTACGCGACAAATTTTAAATATGCATTTTGTACAACGGCGGCCTTAATTCAAATAATATCGAACCAATTACAATTGTAAGGCAAATGTTTTTAAACTTGAACTTTAACATCACTAAACGAAATGTCCACGCCTGTCACTGTATTATATGATAAAACTCAAGCGCAATGTTTAGTCGACGTGTCTCAACCGGTTAACAGTATAATAAAGACGTTATGCATGGAACATTTTAGCATTTCGGAACCGGCTGTATTGTACGCACTTAGGTTACAAGATACTGAGGAGTTAATCACTGATGAGGTTGGTGAAAATTTTCTTGCTTTCAGAGATTTTGGAAAGACGAATGATTATGCCCTAAGGCAAGGTTTTTTTTTTTTTTCAGAATCTCCGTAGAAAGGTGACGGAAAATGAAAGACTTAAGCTAGTGTCATCTCCCTTAATCGAAGCGGCCGAGATATGCGAAAAATTATGTTATACGGACGATAAATCTTTGAAACTCGCGACATTCTCCCTTCAGAAATACATCAAAGTCGGTAGTTAGCAATAATCATAATTTACATCTTATTTTTTTTATTTTATTTTTCTGTCAATTGACAAATCTCGAAATTGTTTTAAATGAAAGGAAGTAGAATTTGCCGATGAATTTTTAAAGAGAGAAGGATTAAAATCTTTAGTTGGCATTATTAATAATTCAACTGGCAATACCTTGGCGTATGCGCTGACGTCGATGCAAAATCTTATGGAACATGATCATGGATGGGATGACCTAGGAACGGACTTTATAAATAAGGTTTAATTTAAAACTAAATTATATCAACATACCTTCATCTTTAGCATTCATTTACTTCATTTATTACCACAACTAATTGATAGGTAATACAAATATTAGTAAAGCAGACATTGGTGAATATTTGTAGGCCAGCTACTGCAATTATCATTAAATTAGTTACTGCCGATAAAAGTTCGACAACATCATCCATACGATCTTACGGATTTGATGTATTACATGACACAATTATAAATCACCAAAATTTCTTACCGACATTAGTTCAACGTCTTGCGTCGGCCGATTATGTTTTGTGTTCAAATAGCCTGTGCTTAATCAATGCTCTGATAAGGCACGCCACAGACCAATATTGGGAATCTTTTATGGACATGTTGGATAAATTGAATGTTAGAAGGGCTGTAGCGGTAGGATTGATTTTATAGTGTGTCATCTTATCGTTCCCCGGGATCTTAATATCCTTTATAATAATAATAGCTTTTGATGAATGGAGTCCATGGAGAAGAGTTATCAAAGCAGTTGTTAGAATTTCAATCATTGTTCGTCCGTCAAGCATATCGACGGAAAAGAACCCAAGTGTCTCTACATATTCCATTGCATAAATCAATGTTGGAAGAGATATGGACGTCGGCTAATCTATCCGAGGAAGACGGGAAATGGCGAAAAATTGGTTTTTCGGTGAGATGATGATTAGGTTTATCTAATGATGTTACAGTATAATTGATAAGATACTTGATTACGTCAGACTGAAGCGCCTAAATGGGAAATTCAACGAGTTGGATATTTAGGTCTTGAAAATATGCATGAATTCGTGAAAAAGGATACCGAAAAATATCAGAAGGTGAATAAATAAATCTATAAAGATAATTTAGACGGTATCTTCCATTCACTTTCAGACCATTATTGATTGGATACACGAATTTACAGACAATACTGGAACAAGTCAATCGACCCGCAGAGCGTCGATGTCCATTCGCAAGGACATCAATCGAGGTCACTGAATTATTATGCGATTATTGGGATGTTAGTACTGGATGTAGGTGACATTCGCCTTTCCTTTCATCTACTATTATTATTTTTAAGGCTCACTGTTTTAAATCTTGTAGACACAACGTCGACTTCATTTCAACCATTATTGTTATCATTTGATAAAATCCATTATATTACTGTGAAATCATTTTTCCGGTTGTGGAATGAGATGGAGGCGACAGTTGATGATTTTCCAAAAGTCTCGGCCTTGGTGAGAAGTCAATTGAAATTCGCTCTGCGTGATGAAGCGACAAAACAACTTTATGAGTTCGAAAAGGATATGCTTGAAGTTGAATATAAGGTCATTAGGGATAGACAATTAAAAGAATTAGAGTTGGGCGACGATCTGCTAAGCAAGACTCCTGTCAGGTAAGGATATTCCTTCATGTTTTCCCGGTCCTTTTCTTTGATCTTTTTTTTTATTCAATGCGATGTCTCAATAACAATTTTGTTCATACATTAAAAGGAATCTACGCGAACGCCTATACACTGAATCCTATGAATTCGTCAAGCAACAACGTATCAAATGTCTATTAACTGGAGATTGGTTTCCAATTTTCACAACGACCAACGTGTCCACGAGTCCCCAAAATTTAGGTCGTAGATCAATGTCAAATAAAAAGTGGAGATTTTATAGGCTCAGCCCAAACATGAAATTTCTTCACTATAATGATTTCACAAATAAAGTCTTGGTTAGAGAAGGCGTTGAGGAGTTACCTGAAAGGAGTACGTCCATATTTTATCAACCATCTAAATTATATCCGTTAATATATCTAATTAACATCTACTCTTCTAAAATTATTATTACCGTGTGATAGTTGACCTATCATTGGTGACTGATGTGATGACGGGCCCCAGTCTAACCACCACGGATTCTCCATCCAGAAGATCATTCAACAATCCCAATGACCTCACATTTTCCTTAATGTCGGGTCCGGATACTTCTTTGGCAGATTTTCTTGCTTCTGATTTTGTGCAGTTTAGCGAATGGACCGATGGACTGAACATGTTGTTCGATAAGAACATTGGTAGCAAGGATACAGCGGAATTTATTCACGTGTTGACTGAGATCGGAGTAAAAGTAAAATTGTTGGACTTAAGTGGCGAGAGAGTTGAGATTCCTCAGGACGTTGAGGTCCCCAACAAGTTACCAGTTATCGGAAATGGTTTCTATTATGACGACCCTTTTTCGTAAACATTGTTGTTCTCTCGATAGAATTCCATTGGATTAGTGCTCTTAGAAAGTTCATAGAGAAATTTCAATGAGATTTAATTTGCATTTTATTCATTAATGTACATGTTAAACAATAGTTCATTACTATGCATAATAAATATTACAAATAACAATTTATTCACGCCACCTTCATTCCTTGAGTGTATTGGTGTCACATGTCAATGTGTCTTAACAGTCAAAATGGGGTGTAGTTAATCGTTTTGACACGGGTCGCGACGAATTGAACACTAATAAAATGCATAATCCTCATAATAATTTTTATAATAGATATTCTGAATTTTGACATTTGTAATAGTTAATTTGATTTTAAAATATTATCATATCAATAGACAAATTATATTTTGAGTATTGTATAGAGAATCTAGGATAAATTAAATTTTTATCAACAAACTTTGTCTTAAGTTAAAGCTATTGTAAAAATAATATAATGTTTTATAGATACTTTGAATCAATAAATGTAAAATTGTACAAATATATTATATATATATATTTTTAACCTACAATAGCATGTCTTTATTGAGATATTGAAAGATACCACAATATTTACAAATTTTCACAAAGCAACTAACTTATCATTGTACATTATTAGTTAAAGGACTACATTACTTAAAAATATGAGGAGTTCACTAAGCTAGTTCAGACTAAACAAAACTAAATCCAAATTAGATACTCTAAGTCAGATTTAGGGACAATATTACACTCTTCTAGTAGCTTGGCAAGTGCTTCTAAGTCAATAGGGTCATTGTCAACAGTTTGTTACTATTGATTATCACAAAAAATAATGAATTGCTAAAGTATGACATTGAAAAAGGGGAAAATGAAAATATAATTCAAAGCCCTTCAAAAGATTCTTGTTTTATTTAACAGTTTCCTCTTAAAAGGGGTTTGCTTGATTGGAATATTCTCTAAGCTTCATGACATTTGAGAAACTTAATCATTCCTGAAAGTAACTTCAAGAAAAATGTTTGAAGAACTTATCCTTCTGCTGATGTACAAATTCACTTATCGCTAATGGAACCAGCACTATATTACAAAAGAGTTTGCCTAACCAGAATAAAGAAATCTTTTCAAAAACTTTATCTAATCAGAATAAAAGCTTGAAAATCCCAGCTTTTGTCCAAGAAAACCTTTTCACCACTTGAGGAACTTAATAAGAGATATGAGTCAAATCTGTTTATCTACTTGTCACTTGCCTTTTGTTATCATAATTATTTTCTGGAGATTAAATATATGTAGTTGGAGAGGACACTTTTTCTAGAACTTTCTTTCTTATATTATCAATGATATAATGAGACATGTGTGTATAATCAATAGGAACTTGTTTACATTTCAAAAACTAATGTTTTTATATCAGCCAATCACCTTTAGTGAGAATTTGCGCTATCCAAATTCAGAGTCAAACTGAAGTAAGCAAAATTTCTCAAAAAACCATGAAAATAGAAGCTCTAAAAGGGTCAAGACAATTGAAAAAGAAGAAAATAAGTTTTTTTATTATAGAAAACAACTATAAACCCTTCATTTCAAAGGTCAAATAGATCTTCAAGTACTTCATAAGTAGTTATTCTTCTTTTGAAAACTTTCTTGCCATTAATATCAAAGGTATTATTTAACTTTTCTTGATTGCTAAAAGTTAAGTTTTTAAGTGAAGAGATTTATAAACAATAAGGGAAGAGTAATAGTGACTTTTGAAGTTATATTTCAAGTTGTTTTAAGAAAAGTGTTAAGACTTTATTAGCAAAAAAGTATAAAAACTTCTTGTAAACATTTTTTTTGTATATGATCAGAGGGTCAATAGAAAGAATTTTTTTATATATAGTAATATACTGTATATATATATATTAGAGTAACCAGAAATAAGTACTATGTATATGTACGCAGTAGTGACCTGTGGGCAATGATGTTAGAAGTTGGAAGGGTTTTCACCTGAACTATTAGCGGAGTGATAAATCACTCCCGAAGTTGCACTTAGAGTCTTAGATAAATATAAGACTTTGATGAGTGAGTTAGTTAGAGAATTAGCTTTAGCGTCACATGTATAATGTACAGCTTACAATTGTTTAATAAAGCATATATAACTAGCCTGACAAAGGGTTATAATAAAAAAATAATAATAATAAGTACTATGCATATGCAGCCCTTTTTTTGTATATTATATGTGACTACATATTTGTTATTTTATGCTTATCCAGCATATTGGATACATATCTAGTATATCAATTATAGCATATTATATAATTTACGTAATTAGTACAATTTTTCTGATTATCTATTAAAAAAAAAAATAATTACCACTAGTGAATATCAACAAAAATATAACTTTTATCAAGAAAATTTTTACATAGAAGACAGAAAACTATTTTGTGTTTTTTGTAACTGTGTAATAAATTATAAAAAAAAGTTTCCAATTGATCAATATTTGAAAACTGAAAAACATAAAAATAAAAAAAAAAAATCATACAAAGAACATATCAGCTTACACTTATGGGTTCAGTTGATTTAGCAAGTAATCATAAAATGATTAATATAGATTTGGTTCGAGCATTTACTCAAGCAAATATACCATTAGAGAAAATTGATAAGCTTAAATCATTTATATCTCAATATTGTAAAAATGATAAGTTATATTATATTATATTATATTATATATATTTTTTTAATTTATTTTTATTATAAATAGGAGGTACTATTGTTGGATTTTCACAACTTAGAAAAAAATATTTATCAATTGTATATAATATAAAATTAAAAAATTTAAAAACTGTTTTGATAAAACAAGTAATTTTAATTACTGTTGATGAATCAATTGATAGTTGTGGATATACAATCGTAAACATTTTGTTTAGTTTTAAAAATTTTACAAAACTTGTTAAAACTGAACATTTAGCAATTGTAGATAATTTATCTATTGCACAATTAGTTATATATACTATTCATTTTTATGATATTTTTTTTGAAAATATTATTTTATTTATTTCGATAATACTTCATATATATTAAAAGCTTTTACTGTTTTATCTCCTTTAATTCATCAAATGAAGCATAATTGTTGTTTTGCTCATATTTTAAATTTGGTGAGTAATACTTGAATAGAATTTAATGATTTTAAACCATTAGAAATTGCTATTCAAAATATTAAAACATCTTTTGTTCAAAATAATTTTTGTAAAAGAAGGTGGATTTCTTTTTTAAATTTATTTTTCTTTTTTAATAATTCAACTTTATCTCCTTTACCTACAAAAACTAGATGAAATTTTTGATTTAATTTTGTTTTTTGAATAGAAAAATAGTTACATTATTTGAAAGTTTTTTTTCTTTAAGAAGAAAATACAAATAATGAAAGCAAGATGGTTAAAGAATTAATATCAATGTTTAATAATTCAACAAATACTTTTATGTTTGAAATTTTAACAATGTTTATTGTATTTAATGCAAAAAGGTAAGTTATTTATATTATAATTTTAATTAATTAATTAACTAATTAACTAATAATTATTTTTT